GCATATCTGCCCATATCATGACGGTGACGTAAGAAACAATATGTACGGTCAGTCAGTAGGATTGTAGAAATTTTAATGGCGCTTTGTTTCCTTCTGTAATAAAGTATTTTTGTAGCCTACTTGCCCGATTTAAGTATCAAACTCTTCACGGCTCAATTCTGAGATCAATTTGGCGGAAGTTTGTTCAGTTATATGGATTTGTTTTTGTTATTGACATTTCAGTATTCACGATACCAAAGCACAAAACAAATAGTTGAAAATACATAATTATAAAGAGTAAAATCGAAAATGGTTAAAGTAAACAAATTTCATTGTTCATTTATGCAACTTAGCCTGGATTTTCAAATAACTTGACGTTTGGAAGTTAGCAAACCACACAAAGCCAAATATCTCATCTTTCATTGGATCAAACGAAGAATTATTGCGGCATTCAATTTTGGCAGTAGTGTCAGGACTGAACTAAAGTTATTCAAAACAATGGATTCGTGTTCAATGGCGAACTGAAAGGGACAAGATTCTATTTCGAGGTTTCAATATGAAGAAAATGTTTTCAGGCGCGGAGTACGATGTATCCATATCAAAGAACAAAAGACTTCAGGAAGTGTTTACAGGTATGATCGGTGTCACCCGTTTATTTCTCGTTTAAGTGCGTTTCCGTTTCTTCTCCGAGTCAGTAAATACTAGCTTGGTGAGCTGGTTTTCAAACAATTCATAATTCAATTCGTCTTAAACACCGAACCAAAAGAACTATTTCAGACACTAATAAAAGAAGCTGAACCTTTGTAAGCATTTCCTCATGTGTTAAATTTCGTTTTCTACATGTCAGCCGCGTTTAGCCTCGTTTTTCGTTTCGCTTTTCGTTTGTAAATTGACTACTTTTAGCGAGACTTTTCCTCCCATTAAAAACAAGTTAACATATAGTTATTTGATAGCATTTGTATAAATAAGACCCTGCGCGCGCTCTGATTGATCAAAAATCCATGTTTTATCAGAGTATAGAACATAGAGAAAGCGTGTTTTATTGTTTTTCGTCATGCTATCTCTAGTCAACATTTTTGTTAGAGTTGGCGGAAACGAACAATTTCTTTGAAGAAATTTGTGATGGAGTTCTCTGCGAAGCAGCAGAAAGTTTTGAAGACGAGGCATGAAGCACATTAGTGGTATTAAATTGCGTCAGTTTGTCGATCTGTATGCTTAGCAGTTTCTACTCGCGGCGTGCAAAATCTATATCATAAAGCAAATGAAAAAGCTTAAGCCGTGTATTACACTGTGAAATGTATCCTGTAGCTTGCAGCTCGTGTTTTCTATATTTCCCGCGTGTTCTCAAATGCCCGTCGTGTTTTATCACAGTGTTATACACGGCTTAGGCTTCTTTATTTGTTAAATACAAAATAGCAATCCAATTTCGACTGATCACAGCATTGCAAACATTGTTTTCAGTTATTCTTGGAGTCAGATACTAAATTGATGTTTGAACTGGGTCAAACTGCATTCCACAGCAGATTTTTATGTACATGTATATATTAAAAAATGCGCATACCATGTTTTTGACAACAGCCTTTGTTGACATTATCAGTGCAGTTTTCGTCTCTAAATGAGAGCCATTTTCGTGATTCAAGCAGACGAATTGAAGGTCTATACATGAGCTGTGATGTCGTTTTTTCTATCTGAAAATCGTTGAGAAATACAAAATTCTATACTCTCTGTATCTGATTTGTCTCATTCAATACTTTAATAAGAAGAGAAACTAAATAACGAACGTGCAGCGTTTGGTGAATTTTTTCCATTGCGACAGGACAAAATTGAGCTTTGAAAAATGTTGATGGTCACAAGTGACTGCACTAGCGAGTTTCTGCGTTTGCGGCTAGATTACGATCAGATTCTTAATGTGCGGATATTCTGATTAACTATTGGTAATTTCCTCATGTACAGCGCAGTAAGATGACTCGATATTAACTGTTTTTTAGATCTGTTTTCAAATGTAAATCGAATGCAATTATACCATGAACAGTTTTCCTACGTCGTTAAGGGGGCAAAAAAGGCAACACAGTTAAGCAGGAATTGAAGAGAGCAGCTAATTAGATCATCTCTATAATCCTAAGTTTCTGGGCTGACATTTCCAGCGTATGTATATGGAATGTTTTGCATTTTTGAGTTAATATTTACGTTGGCCTTTATTTTGAGGTAGCGATCAGTTTGTTAAAGAACAAGGACTCAATGAGTTTTATCGTATCATTAAAAAAGAGAAGAAGTGATCCATCGCTTTGGTTTGTTTGACATTGCATTACAGCAGGAGCTAAGGTAACAGAAATAAAAACCTTCATTCTGTTGGACAAATCCACGACTAAAAAAAACCGTTCTACATGAATAACGAATAACATTTTTTGTTAGAAAGATAAATAAGTGTACATAACAAGTCCATTGTTTCACAAACCTGTTCTGACGAAAACTTTCCTAAACAAACAAAGGAAGTAACAAACGGTGTGGTCAGTGAGTCAAGAAAAGAGAACTCACTGGAGATTTTTTCTTGCTTGGAGAATTTAACGATGTAAGTTTGCAGTTCTATTGAATATTCTTAAATTTTCTCAAAGGTTTTAATGTTAAATTTAACGTTAATTTCTCTGTTCTACTGTTTAGCTTTGTGTACACGCTCAGACGACCCAGAGGCTTAGTTTATTCAAAGGTAAATGATCTAGTGTTAACTGAGAAGACTGAACCAATTTTTAAAAAATAGTACGTCACCAGATTTACAGAAAATAGAAAAAAAACTTTAAATTCGTACACCATAAACTATGGCCAGCGTAAACATACTGAAACATTAGATCACTCGATTTTGGGTAAATTAGTTGGCGAGTTCTATCAACGACGGATAATTTAGCAGTATGAGATTTTAAATATATCAAGAAAAGTAAAACAATGTTCATAAAAAGACTCATTTCAAATGTTTTAGGACTCTCTTTCAATATCTTTAGGGTGGTCAGGGTATTGTATTGTCTAAAAAGAAAAATATTTTTTCGTTATAAATATTTTCCGTCGTAAATTCACTTCGTTACCTTATCGTTACCGTTCACATTTTTGCTGTCATCTTGAACAATATTGGTTGAATTGATCATTTGTAAATTTTAATGATTAACAGAGAAATGACGTGTTTATTAACTGATAGCTGAGATCTGAGATCTTCAAAATTGATTCATAGCTGAAAAACATTCTGAAAACTAAATTGAAAAGAAACCTCAGAGTCCTCATTGAAACCTTAAAAATAGCGCGGACTGTATAAAACTACGATTCAATTACCAGACAGTCTCATTTTAGCCCGTAGAAAACAAACTAAGCGTAAAGTACACTAAACTCAACAGAAACACAATTCGTAAGTTTGAGCCAAACTTCTATGACAAACATTGTGTACACTTCAGTCAGCCAAGATTAACGACAAAGACGTTCTACTTCTATAATAAAACACTCATCTCAATTTTAACTTTGGAACAAGAACTGCGCTTCCTTCAGGTTTTGATAGCGTATTTCATTTTAGAGTAGAACAGACGCACGACAAACAGAAGGAATTGATAATTATCCAGATTCTGTATTTGGACTTTGATTCATTTCAGAAGCACGTCTTAAAACCTTTTATTATTTCAAGACTTGATTTCGGAGTGTAAAAAGAAGGGTTCTTTTCATTATCCGAATTTTTTGATACCAGAAAAGTTGCCTTTTGGTTGAAGAAAACTATAATGGAATTTTAACCATCAAAAAAATAAAAACAACAACAACTGTGACTCGCACTCATTCGTGAAAAAAAGAACTATAAGCAAATAAATTGACTGAGCAAAACGTAGAATTATAACACGTGTTCTCATTGGACAGACAGCAGAAAGCAAACACTTTTAGCGAATAGCTTTGCTTGTGAAAATGTACATTAGACTTTTGCTATGCATGCCGTTTTACAAACTTGTTTTTACGCGAACCTCACACCGACAAACAAAGCAACAAAGTTTGCCTCACTAACAGACAATTCAAGGAGTTCATTTTAGTTCTGAACGGAGAGGAGAAGGGACTGTATAAGTTTAAGATGTAAGTTGATTATTTTTTGGATTCTTTCCTTGTTTTAACATTGTTCAATCTAACACTCGTTCTTCTCTTCCCTGTTTAGCTTTTTGTCCCATTCAGACGACACACTGGCACTGAGTTGCTTCAAAGGTAAGTGATTTCATTCATTGCACGCCTCGCTAGAGCAATCATGTTTTAGCTTTTAATTTATTTCTCCAAAACCAGCGTAATATAAATTATCAGTTTCTTTTAGCTTTCGTCTTGGCGGAAAAAACAATGCAAAAACTAAGATCAAACGAATTTTACAAGTCTCAAATGAGACTTCTTTTTGCAGTTGCACTCATCAGCTTAGTATCAACGCTTCTTAAAAAATCGGTTTTATTATTTGATACAAAATGGGACTAAAATCTCATCAGTGACGCTTACTTATAGCGGAGCTCCGGCGGCCCGAAGGGCCGCCAAGCGGAGCCCCATACTCATACAGGAAAGAAACGGCAACCCTTGAGTTGATTTTCTCATGGTTATCATGACTAGCGGTATTGCTCGTGGGCGCGTACGCACAACGGCGACGACGACGGAGTCGCGCAACATGGCGCGGCGGCCATACTCCAAATAGGTTGACAGAGACATGCAGCCTTGGTTTACCGTGTACTTCTTTGATATTGGACAGCCATGTTATGATCAATTGACACCAGTCAAAACAAGGTATCCGCTAACCAGTATCACGTGACCATATCGCGGGCTCAAGTTTATAACTCATCGAGGTAACGTGTTTTTTTGGACGTTGACCGCTGACCGTTTTCGATTGGATCGCGGGCTCATGTCAGGTTAACTTGTTGA